TTTTTATTTGGAGGGTCTCACTACACAACTCAGACTCATAGTGATCTTCCTATCTCAGCCTCCCCAGCACTGGAATTACAGGTGTGCGCCACCATGCCATTTTGGAGCCAGCAGGGCAGGCTGGGACTTCAGGGGCCAGCGCAGCATGTAGGACCAGGGATTGTACTTAGGTCCTTGTGCTTGGCAGGCACTCAGACTGCCAAGCTATCTCCCAGCCCATGGGGCATACCACTTTAACCAAGTGATCAAATTTAGTACCACCAGCAATTATGTGACAAACCAACATAATTTGCCCCTCAATATGACACAAAGGGACGCACAAAACACTCCACTATATGATATTCTTATCAAAAAAATGTTTAACCTGACTATAATCATAAGACAGTAAGCACATGAATCCAAGTTGTTAGATATTCTACAAGAAAATGTGTTTTCTTTTTAAAGTTCAACATCAAAAAAGGATGAAAGATATAGACTGTTCTAGATTGCAAGAAACTAAGGCATGTCTGGAAATGACAACCACATGTAATGTGAAATCTTTGTGGAACCCTAGATTTATGTTAAGACATTTTAGAGACAGAGAAATCTTGAGTATTAGATATTATATTCAGTGTTAATTTCTTGTGACTATAAGAATATTTTTGTGGAGATTGATCCCTGGTGTGCCGTGCCGGCCCCACCCTGGAGCATGCTAGGAAAGCTACGGAGACTGGCATTGTGGTGCATGCCTGTAATCACGTTTGGGAGGCTGAAAACAGGAGGATCACTACAAGTCTGATCTGTGTAGTGAGACCCTGTAGACCCTGTGCTAAATACATTTTAAAAAAAGGAATGTTTTTGTTGTTAAAAAGACAAATGCTGAAGTAGTTAGGGGTGAAATGTCTTTGATGTCCACAATTGATTCTCAAACAGTTTAGGGGAAAAAAAAAATTATTTCTTGAAAAATAAACCAGTACAGTGGTCCCTCCCTTATTAAATAGCGGAGCTTTATGTTTCAGACATCCCCACCATAAGTGAAAATTAGTGAAGCAGCAACATTATATTTTAGTATTTATATATATTTAAGGTTTTATAAACCCTTCCCACACTATAAACCTTTCCCACTTTTAAAAACACTTCTAGTGTTCTCAACAATTTTCTAAACTTACCTACGTAATCTTTTTTTTTTTTTTTTTCCCAGAACCGGGGATTGAACTCAGGCCCTTGTGCTTGCCAGGGAAGCACTTATTGCACTGAGCCATCTCCCCAGCCCCAACCTACGTAATTTTAACAACATACATATACTGTATGGTACAGTATGTATTCATCTGCTAAAGAAATACATATACCTGGCAAGCACAAAGTCCTGAGTTTAGCTTATACCAGTGTATTTTATTTCGATTTAATATTCTTTTAATATGTTAGAATTAACATTTTAAGTATATTTTATATATTTAAAAAAAATTTAGGCAAAAATTATTAAAACCATAAATACTGGGCATATAAATATGTATATAGTACTGTACATTACTGCAAATCCCAAGACGTAGTGAAAAATCTGTGATAAATAATTCAGATTAATATTTTTTGAAAATCGTGAAATAGTCGGCAAAAGTCAAACCGCGTAACAGTGAAGGACTACTATACAAGGAAAACCTGTGAACAATAGGTAAATCCAAATGAAAAAATGTAGAGGTATTCTTTGAAGTTATTTTTGAAATTCCTGTATTTTCAAAATACAAAAAACTGGGGAAAACTGAGCTGAGCTGAGAATGCTCTTCTGTTCCAAATAAGGAACATGCTTACCTAGGGCTGATCTCCTCAGAAATGTCCACAATGTCATCTAGCTGGGCTACTTGATCCTTCTTGCCATTCTCTGCCACTAGGATCCGGATTTTTTTCAGGCAGGCTTTAGATGCTCTCACCAGCGCCAGGCATGGGATTATGAGCTCCTGATCATCCTCAGACCAATATACGTCCCGATTGCTGGGAAACCCCAACACACCCTCGCAATTGTGGCTGTCAGAGCTGTCATCCTCAGAAGCATTCAAGAGTCCAGAGTAAGGGTCACACTCCTCTACAGCCTGCAGCAGACACCATGACACATGGTGAACATACCTACCAAGTCTTGGCACCATGACTAAGTTTTCCTACAGAGTTGAGTCATTTCATAAGCCCTGTTCTCACTGTCCTTGTCCAGCAACAGAACAGAGGAGTGGTACTAAATCACACGCCAGCTGTGGGAGAGCTGGAAGATACATGACAGGAATAACAACAGAACCCATTCAGTCAACACTAAGATCATCTTTCTAAATATTCAAGTCTCACCTACTGGTCATGGAGTTATCTCCCAATGATAAGTAAAGAAAGATTCTCTCACCTGCTCCATTTCTTCATGTGCATCTTTCACAAAATCCACACTCTTTGTCAGCATTAAAAGAGCTGCAGCTTTGTTATCTATGAGTGAAAAATCAGAATTAGGGGCAAAACTCAATGATTCTTTTAAGACTGCAAAAAAAAAAAAAGACTGCAAAGGACAACCAAAATTTTCTTTTGAAGAAAACACTAAGGTCAACAATGGTGGTGGTTTACACTAAAACTGTTCTCACCCAAGGAGAGGGTTTTGAGCAACAAGAGATAAGAACAAAATCTTCGACTTAAATTATACTACAAAGCTACAGTGATAGCTGGGTATGTGGTTCATGCCTGTAATCCCAGCACTTGGAGGCTGAGGCAAAGGTATTTGAGATTAGCCTGAGCAATTTAGTGAGTTCAAGTCCAACAACAAAAAGCAAGGCTGTGGGTAAAAACGAACCCTTCTACATTTTGGTGGGAATATAAACTAGTATAACCACTATGGAAATCTGTGTCAAGATTCCTCAAAATACTAAAACTAGAAATTCCATTTGAGCCAGGTATTCCTCTTGTAAGTATCTTCTCTAAGTATCTTCCCCAAAGACATGGACAGGATACCACAGTGATACATGCATACCCATGCAGAACCACACAATTCATAACAGCTAAATTTTGGAAGTAACCTAAATGTCCATCAACAGATGAGCAGATAAAATATGGTATTTACACACAATAATGTAGCACGCTACCACTTGAGTCATTTGTAGGAAACAGCTGCACCTTGAGATCAAACCCACAATATAAATACTGACGAGGATATAGCTCAGTGGCATAAGCGCCTGCCTGGCAAGTACAAGGTCCTGAGTTTGATTCCTGGTACCAAAAAAAAAAAGTAGCCAAAGTACAATTATTTTCAAGAACAAAATAAAAGACAGACAAAGCAACAGGCAACAGCAACACAAATCTTTTTATGTTTTTTTAGAAATGAGAAGGGGACCAAGAGATGGGGGGAGGGAAAGAAGGGGAACTAAAAACAATCAAGGTATGACATGTACAGGTATCAACTCCCCATGCCTTGGTAACTGTTATATGCTACAAACATATACTAATACAAATTTTAAAATTTAAAAAAAGAAATAAAGAGAGCCAGTGAGATTGCTCAGCAGACTAAGTGCCTGCTTTGGCAAGCTCAGGGACCAGGGTTCCAGGGTTCAATCCCCAGTCCCACATGCCATGCCAGCCCCACCCCCAGGGCACGATGAGCCAGCAAACAAGTCTGGGCGCGGTGGCATACACCTGTAATCCCAGCACTGGGGAGGCTGAAAACAGGAGGATCACTATGAGTCCAACCTGCATAGTGAGACCCTGTACCAAATGCAATTAAAAAAAAAAAAAAGAAAAAAAATTAAATGGCCACATGATGCCTCACATATAGTTCTCCTGGAAACAAAGTTTTTGGCCTACCTGCCTCTACCTCATTAACTGTTTCCCCGAAACACTGCTCTGTGGCAGGAGGATCACTACGAGTTTGAGGCCACCCTGGGTTACAAAGGGAGTTCAAGGCCAGCCTAAACTGCAGTGAAACCTGGTCTCAAAAAGACAAGTAAATAAACACTTGTCTAGGGCAACATTAGAACTGCTGCATGTGTTCAACATGAGACAGAGCCACAGCAGAGACTGACATAGCTCAGTAGCAAGATGCCTGCCTAGCATGTGCAGAAACCTTCACTCAGTCATTAGCACTGCCCCCCCAAAAAAGTATGAAAATTAGAAAATGGCAAAAGGTATTAGTACTTCTCTATTAATAGAGATGGAGGCTGGGGATATAGCTGAGCAACACAGCACCTGCCTGGCAAAGTGCAAGGTCCTTAGTTTGATTCCTGGTACCTGAACTTTTTACAGAAATTAAAATACATACATGTTACCAGGCTGGAAACTAGACAGATGTTTGTCTATCTATCTGTCAGCAGTAGAAGGCCCACTTCCCTACTCTTACTCACCTTTTGGTATCTGAGGCACTTGCTGGCACGTAACCCAGACACTGTTGTAGGAAATAAGGTCATTGTTCTCAGAGCTGAGGAAAGGAATTAATAAGGATAGATCAATAACTTAGCCTCCTTTCTATTAATAAGCTTCTCTTAGCAGTCCTAATTTTCAGCTATCATTAACTTTGCAGTTAGACAAGCTTTTCCCCCAGAATCAAAGAAGCCTATTAATTACCATCCCACAAGCCAGGCATAGTGATGCATGCCTGGAATCTCAGCACTCAAGAGGCTGAGGCAGAAGGATCTCCATGAGTTCAAAACCAGCCTGCACTACATAGTAAGTCAAAGGCCAGCCTGATTAAAGAGCAAGAACCTGTCTTAAAAAAAATAAATAAATAAATAAAAAATAAAAAAATAAAAATCACTCCATAGTGGCATCACTACCTCTGAGCTGGAGCAACAAGAAGTACTTCCACAAGCTGAGCCAGGCCATCCACAACGTCCAGAGTGGTGCTCCGTACCAGCTTTCTCAGGGTGATCCCTGTGGTCAAAAAAAACCATAGGTAGTCCGGACTTCTTTTCAGACGTCACCACATGCTGTCCTGAGTCTAAGCACTACAGAACTATAAAGTAATGTATCAGATACCCCCAGGCTTTAAATGAATAACCAACGTAACAGTCACTTCTTCGTTTATATCCCAGGTCATTGCTTTGCCCTTTTCCTCCTCGCCACCGTTCCCCAGTTATTCTCCAAGAGACACAAAACAAAATTTTCCAGGACAGCATATATTCACCCATTAAGGACAGGGGTCTCCTGAAACTGGATAAAACACTTGATATTTTTGCCATTTGTGAGCAATCCTAAACATCTATGATATGTGCAATTATCATTCTGGCATGATTATAATCACAGCATAAAACTACAAGCAGGGTTAGTGGACGCAACTTATGGAGGAATTCAACAACAGGGTGTGACATAATATGGGTGGAAAGAGAGCAGGGATAGCCTGACCTGGGCAGGAAACTGAGCTTCAGCCAGTCACAAAGGGGGAAAGAGGGAAGAGCCAGTGAGAATTAAAAGCCTTAAGAGTCAGGCAAGGCAGGAGAGATGGGAGGTCACACATGTATAGCATCTGTACCTTGGCGTATTGGAATGTTTACAGAGGATTACTGTAAAATTATCCTTGATGGGATTTTATGGGGAAAGCTGCATGCTCAAACTGGACAAAGGTAAAAAGTCTCACAGCATAATGCATCACATTAGTGAAGATCTGGCCCATAAGTGCAATTCTAATGGGTACAGTGGCTTACCCTGGCCCTTGGGAAGTGAATAGTATATTGCAGTAAGTGCCTTGATGGCTGCATGGACTTGCTCACAGATCCTCTGGGTTTCCTATGAGGTGATGGACCAATTTCAGGATTAAAAAAAAAGAATGGATTAGATCAATGTGGTCAACTCATCTACTGTGGAAGAGATCAGACATCTGTACAGCACCATCAAACATTTTCTCAAGTTCTGTCATGAGTCAACTTTGTGCTAAACTCATCCCATGCTAGAGAAAAGTTAGCTAGAAACCAGACACTGGCTAAAACCTCAAGAAAGATTAAGAAACAACAGACTTATTCTTTACACTACATATCCTAAGAGAGTCATGAAATGCCACATGCTATTTGCCATATTTAGACCAGGAGCAGGCAAACTATGGCCCTCAGGTCCAGTCAGGCCCACTCTGAGCCTCTGTAAATAAAGTGTTACTGAGACACAGCCAGGCTTACTGGCTGACAGTTATAACCCACACTACATGGGCAAAGTAGAGAAGTTGGTGTGCAAAGCCCAAAATATTTACTACTGAGCCTTTTATAGAAAAACTTTGCCAACCCCTGTTAGACTATGAATCAGCTCTGTGTTTGCGTATCCTCTCAACTGGTGACTAATAATAATAATAATAATAATAACCAGGTGACTAAAGGTAATTAACACGGACCCTGGGGAGTGCTGACCATTTTCCTTCTAAGTGGTCACTCGCTTTCTTTCTTTCTTTCTTTTTTTTTTTTTTTAATGGAACCAGGGATCTAACTCTGGACCTTGTGCTTGCTAGGCGGGCACTTACGCCACTGAGCTATATCCTCGGCCACTGGCTTTATCTTTCTCAGCTTCTATTCTCTGCTAAATTCTAAGCAGTGCTATGTAAACATGGTCCAAATTGTTGGCATTCTACAGTTACCAGTTTATACAATGAAATAAGTACAGTGACTGAGAGCAAGTGCTGTGAAACTTCCATGGCAACTCAGCACTGTTTAAACATCCAAACATGTAATTCCATAAAAAGAGCAGTATATAAGAATTAGAATTCTTGGGGCTGGTAAGATGGCTCAGTAGTCTAAAGCACCTACTTAGAACAACCTTAGCAAAGCACAGGAACCACGGTTCAATCCCCCAGCACCACATGCCAGCCAGCCCCACCCCCAGGGGGGCTGAGCTGCCCACACACACACACACACACACACACACAAATAAATAAATAAATTTAAAAAAAGAATTAGAATTCTTAGGCCAGCCAGATAGCTCAGCGGACTAAAGCTCCTGCTTAGGAAAGCACAAGTGCAGGGACCATGGGTTCAAGCCCCACCCCCAGGGCAGACTGAGGCCAGAGTCCAGGCCTGTAATTCCAGTGCTAGGGAGGCTGAAAGTAGGAGGATCACCAGAGTCGGAGCTGCCTACACAGCTCGTTGAGACCCTAAAACAACTAAATACATTAAAAAAAAAATTTAGAATTATTTTTACAAATATCTGAATGACTTTTTATATGCTGGTAAAAATCGATTTTTCAGGCTGGGGAGATAGTTCAATAGAATAAGTGTTTGCCTGGCAAGCACAAGGACCTGAGTTCAATCCCCGGTTCCACCAAAAAAAAATAAATAAATAAATAAATAAATCGATTTTCAAGCTGTATTGCTCCCCTCCCCATGTATGTATTTGGTACCGGGTTTCACTATGTAGCTCAGACTCCTAGTGGACCTCCTGTTCCCCAGCACTGAGATTACAGGTGTGTGGCATCATGCCCGCACTCCTTTCCACTCCGTTTGCCCCGGCGCAGGGATCCGACCCTGGTCCCTGCGCTTGCCAAAACAGTCACTATATTGCTCTTTTTTTAATGGCCAGAATAGTTTGCAGCACTTGATTATATGTGTAAAAAGCAGACATATACACATAAACATATAGAAATGTATAAATCCATAGAATATACTGTATGTTGGAAAGAGGGTGGGAGACAAAAATGAGGAATCGGAGTAGGAAAATAAAGTTTTTAGCACACTATTTTGATATCCTTTGGTTTTTATACCATATCCACATTACTGGTTAAATCAAAAATTTCAAAGCAAAGGAAATTACATATGTAATAGAACATCAGATAGACCCTGTTTAAATTCAACCTTCTCTGATTAATCTTAACCTGAACCTATGGCCTGGTTGGTTGCTTATCTGTCAGATGAGGATAATATACTGTATCTGAAAACATCTACAAACAGCTCTTTGAAAAGTCACCAGAAGGGCCAGCCAAATAGCTTAGTGGATTAAAGCGCCTGCAAGCAGGTGCAGGGGCCCGGTTCCCAGGGGCCTGCCGAGCTGGCCCAGCCCCAGAGGCACGCTGAGACTGCAATTAAGACTGGGCACACCTCAATTACACGGTGGCACGCCCCTGTAATCCCAGGTCTTGGGAGGCTGTAAACAGGCAGATCGCTATGAGTCCGATCTAGTAGTGAGACCCTGAACACCCTGTGGACCTTTCCCTAAAAAAAAAAAAAAAAAAAAAAAAAAAAGTCACCAGAAAGACAATAACGAGGCTGAACTTCAGCTGGACTTGAGAAGACAAGTCTACTCTGCCCGGCAATGCCAGTTCACTCTCACAACAATCCTGGATGTAAGAACTGCAACCTCAAGAAAATAAATCCCTTGGCTTGAGTGGAAAAGGTGGAAAAGGAGAGATTCCTAAAGCAGAAGGAGGCAGCACAAGAACTTAAGTGAAATGAAGCTCACCTGTGAAGAGGTCAGCGGCTGTCGGAAGACTGTGGTCAGAGTCGTGGCTTCCCCTGCCACTGTCACTGCTGCCTCATCTGGGGAAGGCAGTGGAGGAGGCAGGTGCCCAAGTCAGTGCGAAAGCCGAAAGCTGCCGCAGGGACTTTGACGTCCCCTCTCCACCCTTATAGGTCTAGACGTCGCAAAAACACCTCTAAAAATCAGTACTCCCGCCCCGTCAAGCGCTGCGAATGGGTAACGCGAAGTCTCACTACCTCGGGGATGTGACAGGGGAGTCGGCGGAGGGAGAGGGGCTGGGACGGAGGAGACGAGGGAAGGGGCCCCAGACAGGCGCGCCACTCACTGAATCTTCTCCAAAACCTTTCCCGATCGAACTCCTCGGAAGTCTCCCGGGCCTCGCCGACTGCAAGGTGTAACGTGGGGAACGGTGGCGAGAGGAAAGGCGAAGGTGAGCCGCGCCCTCAGCCTGCCGTCCTCTCCCCAGCCCCAGCCGCCCCGCTGTCGCCTCTCCCGAGCGCGCACTTACCCCGCACCTGGGCCCCTAGCAGCCGCAGCTCCGCCGCCAAGCGCCGAAGCTGGGCCGAAGCCTGGGCCGAGGGGGCAGGCGCAGCTGTGCTCGCCATCTCAGTCTGACGCTCCCGGGGACCACGGACCAGAAACCGACGTCACAAGATCTGTAAGGTAACAGCCCTCGCCCTTCCGGCGCTTACTTCCGGCAATAGCCCGCAAGGGCCCGCCCATAGACACGCCCCCGCCCGCCTTCCGGCCTCCCGGGGCGTGACCACAGCGCAAGGTGTTGTTTGTAATCAGTCATTCGTCATTTATTCGATTAGTTGCAAACACCCCCGACCGAGGAAGTAGAAAACTCATAACCCTGTGGGAAAACAGGGTTGGGAATTAACATCTCAAGGGTAGTCAGGTTGGTTATGGCCCAGGTTCACACAGGATGCTGTCTTCCTTGACAGCTCTGAGGTCCAGGCACAGTGCTAGAACTTTACAAGGGACAACCCTAAAAAAGCACACTGGGCCTGAGATACTGCCATACATGCACCCGGTCCCTATGCCATGGCACTGCTTGATTAGGGCTTTTTCTTTGTTCCCTTAGGGAAAGTTGAATCAAGTCATTATACTTTCCGTAGTCCACTTTGCAGAAATCAGTAGTGAGTAATCCATCCAGCATCCAGGTGTCTGAGGAGCGGTGGCCCCCTGCAGCTCACACATACCCACTGTGAGCAGGGACCTGGACTACACATGCAAAGGCAGGACTTCCACACAGCTGCCAGTGGTTAGAAACCACCTTCATGAGCTCAGATGGCTTTTCAACTGCACCATGAAGGTTCCAAACTCCGTTGAGTTTAATGTCCACACACAACGAATGAGTACAGGTGTCAGCAATGTCAACCAGGTCCGCAAAGGAGATATTAGAAGAGCCAAAGTGCCAAATGTCACATGAAGAAAGTAGCAGGAATAAACTTGCCAGATGTATAGTAGGAACATAAGTAGGTGAACAGGTATAATTTTCAAGTATTTTCCTTGATGGAGATGAGACCTGAAGCTTTGACCAAAGCATCGCTGTAGCAAGCTCCAACACAGGTAAGCCATCAAGGGGATGTTAAAAAATGCCAGCTGGAAAAAGCAGTAGAACACAGCCATTAGCACAATACTATGCCCTGAGAAGGGTGAGTCTGGGTATTATAGGTGTCCCAAGGATATCTGATCTGAAAGTCTGATCTTTAATGCTTCAGTCATACTTGTCTATAACACAAGTTACAAGTGACCTTCAGTTAACTGTGTATTTGCCTGTGACCTTTTGTTCTCAAAGGGAGGTATCTATTCATGCTGAGGCCCCACTTGCAGTATCATCTGCACAGGAGGCACAAGTGTTTAAGTTGAAGTAATTTGATAATTAATGCATACAAACAGTATATTTTTTAGGTGGGAGGAAAAATATAAAAATATTTCTGTATTTATGTTTGATATAGCATGATAAGTACTGAAATATAAGTGAGAAGATCTAATTCATAATTCATCTTTGCAGCTATGTTATTTATTCAACCAATATTTATGAAGCACCCTTTATGTGGCAAGAACTTTGCTAGACTCTGGGTTGGAGACAAACTGGTAAACAAGTCAATAAAGATCCACCATAAACCTACATTCTAACAGGTGGAAGAGAACAAAAATTATACAAATTTTTAAAAGATAACTACATCTTGTAATAGATTTGATGAAGGAAATAACTGAGTCCCTAGAAGTTAACTAGGAGACAGGCTGTCTGAAGCCTCAAGTACAGGGGCCAGTTGAGGAAAGTGTGGGAAAAGTTTTAGTGTCTTAAAGGCAGCACCTGCTGAGCACAAGGAGCCAGATGGAAAATGGAGATGGAGCCAGAGGTGGTGGTGCACACCTATAATGCTGTAACTCGGGAATCAGAAGTGAGTTCAAGGGCTCACAAAGTGAGTTCAAGGCCAGCCCAAATTGCATAGTGAAACTGTCTCAAAAAGACAAAATTTTTAAAAGCACACAAAAATGAAGGTGGAGTCACTGGTTTAGGTGGAAATAGAAGTTCCTACCAGAGACAGTATTAAATTGATATGACTTTTAGCTTTTAAGAGAATATATAAAACGGCAGTTGGGTACATAGTCTTGAAGTACAGAGAAGAGGTCTAGGTCAGAGACACAAATTTGGGAGTCATGACCTAGATAATACAATAAATCCACTACCAACCTACTGTTGATTAAATTATGAATATAAGCACACACACACACACACACACACACACACACACACACAAAAACCCTTGTCTTCTAGCAAGTTAAGTTTCTTAAGGCTTTGGGTTGGGTAAGGGCTGAGAAAGGAAAGGGAAAGCTAAAAAAAAAAAAAAAAAGGAAGA